CATGTAATCGATTGTAAAAGTGAGATTTGTGATGGTCAGTTTATCTGCTTTATATGTGCTTATTGAATATCTTTCCTTTGTTCATGTATGATGTACCAGATACAATTAGATTCAGTGTGTTTTCATTTATATGTATGATAGATGTATGATGTTAGGTGCAAATGTGATTTCATTAATATCTAGAAATATATATGGCTAAAGAATTGTGTACCGGTGCCAAGATGGTAAAGGGTGGACGGTGACAGGTAGGTTTATTTGTGCCAACCTGGCCAATAGGAATATGTGGGATTTATAAGGTCGCAGTTTAATTGGAGGGCAAAGAGATAAATGGCTCGGCAAGGCCCACCCCTTGCTCTCTTGCTCTCTGATGATCATACCAGAGTCCAGCTGCTTTAGCTAGCTCTCTGCCTCAACTTGTGAGCTACACTACCTGTGGACAGCCAACCCACGGGTTGTGTTGCTATAGCTTGAGGTTCCTTTGAGACCTGCTTCACCACGCTAATGGCGTGTACATCATTTGAGCTTGAGGCTGGTGGATTCTGTCGTCTTGCATTGCTTGAGTTCAATATCCCATCTGAGCCTGCTTCACCAAGCTCCTACACTACTGACTGTTGCTGACCCACACTTCTGTCTGCTGTCTTGCCTGAGGGAAGACTCAGCCATTTGCTTCCTTGACCTTGGACCCTGCAGCCCACATGAGTCGAAGGACTTCCAGTATATTAACTTTTCCATTAAAACATTCCTGTTGACAAGCCACTGATGGCAGCTGGAGAACCACTGATGGCAGCTGTAGCCCTGGAGCTGGAGAAGCCACGTGGAGACCCACACCAGCGCTGAGATGCTTTCACCACCACTAGATCCACAAGACTTTCCACCCACTGGCCTGTGAACTTCCTGTACTCAGCATCATTGCATGACTGTGTGAGTCTAAAAAGGAATTTATGGACTAGTATTGCCATATGGACTTGATCTGGACTGGGCTGGGGTGTTTTCTTAATGTACAATTGCTCTTTGATATAAAGTTCTCTCTTATACATATGAGTGTCTCTGGATTTGTTTCTGTAGTCAACTAGGACCAACACAGCTGTGCTTGAATTTACAGACATACTGGATTTTCCCTGTGGGGACATGTATATTCTCAGGAGGGTAGGGTAGCAAGGAAGAGGACATGGTAAAGGAAGTGGGAGATAGCAAAGATAAATAAATAAATGTATTATAATACAACCCAAAACAAAAACCAAAGACAACAAAGTAAAGTACAAGAACTAAAATCACCTTGTGGGTGGGAATTCCTGCTTCTTTGGTGATGTTATGGCATGGGAGATGTGGGGTACATGGGTGGGAAAGGCACCAGAGACTCAAACAAGAGAGGAGGAGGAAGGGGGAAGAAAAGAGTTGGGGTAAAGGTGAAGCTTTGGACCAGATTACGTCTGCCCCCCACTGCCCACACAATCTGCTATCCATGAGGGTCCCCTGAGGCCAGCGAGGTAAAATGTTTATCTGGCTGATTGTCTCACTCGCTGCCTTTGAGTGAGTGCCAAATAATAGTTACCCTAAAGGACAGGGGTCCTGCCCAGTGTATTTTCAAGACTGTAACTCTTTATAGGAGCGGAAAGCCCCTTTAGGGGACAGGAAAACTCAGCGGTGCCGGGGAGGAGGGGAACTCCCCGAAAGGCCTCCTGCTGCTGGCCACTGGTGAGAAGGAGTCCGTCGCCATGTGTTGCTGCTCTGGCTCTCCTACTTTAAGAAACGTGGGTCTACTTACATTTTTAGTTGAGTTTCTTGCTATCAGGAAGTACAAGATGTTCATCCTAGTGGAAGCTCTCTGATAATTCCAGGAAGCACTTTTGAAAGCATATTTCGTCTAATTCCCCGAGTAGCCCTGTTTTTGCATTTACCACCTTGGGTGATAAAGCTGTATACTCACCTGTCTCCTGAATAAGGACATACACCACTCACGGATGATACGTAGTCACCAGGGGCTCCGGGGCACAACCACTTCAAACATGAGCAGTTCCGCTATTTTATTTGAGAGAAAGCCCTGCCAGCCAGCTCTCTACATCAACCGATGAGGACCCAACCCTTGGTGATAATGGCAGGAATGCTACATTCATCTTCTCATTGACTCCTTATATAATCATCATTATTATACATTTCAAACTGGGAGATCAGAACAGGGAAGTCCAACCGGGGCCCATCACCCCTAGACCCACGTAGAAGGGCTCATTCTTTACTCAGTTCCCTATATTAAGTGTCTTGCCTGACACTGTCACATCGAGTGAATGTTTGCTGTGATGGAATAGAACAAAAGCAGGGGTAGGGGGACAAGGAACCCTATAGTCAAATCCTGGTCTTGACTGTTTAGCATGAGACTTTACAGAAGGGTCTAAACTCCTAGCCTATCCCCTTCACCCATCATACACTGCTGATGACAACAATAACTTTCTCTTCCTAGGCTTTCTGGGAAGATTGCACTTGACAGTGAGCCTACTCCCAACCCCCGCAGTCAGCCAGGATAGGTCGTTGATACGGAGAAGAGGAGGGGGAACCACACCCAGGTTAGTTCCTGATTGTTAATAGCTTTAAAAAAAATCATTTTATTGAGGGCTCATACAACTCTTATCACACTCCATACATGCATCCAGCACATTTGTACATTTGTACATTTGTTGCCCTCATCATTCTCAAAACATTTTCTGTCTACTTGAGCCCTTGGTATCAGCTCCTCATTTCCCCTACCCCATGAAGATGCTTTTCCAGGGACCTCGGTTTCTTCTGTCAAATGAGGTCATTAAAACATGTAGTGGTTGTTCCCAAATTAGTTCCAACTCACTCAAGCACAACAGAACAGAACACTGCTTTGTCCTGCGCCATCCTCACACTGGTTACTATGTTCCAGTGCCTTGGGACAACTATGGTGTCCATCCAAAAGCATCTTGCTCTTTTCCACTGATCTTCCACCAAGCATGACGTTCTTCTCCAGAGCCTGGAGCCTCCTGACAACAGGCTCAGAGGACATGAGATGAAGTCTCACCGTCCACACTTCCAAAGAACATTCAGGCCGGACTTCTTCCAAGACAGAGTTGTTCTTCCTTCGGGCGATCCATTCCATATGCTTCAGCAACACCATGCTCAAAGGTATCAACTCTCCGTAGCTCTCCCTTACCTGTTGGGCAGCGTTCGCATGCATATGAGGTAGTTCAGAAAACCATGACTTGGGTCAGGCACACCTTCGTTTTTAACACTTGAAAGAGATCTTTTACTAGCCTATTTGCTTAATGAAATATAGAATTAGATTTCTTGACTGTTGGTTCAATGGGCGTTGATTGTGGATCAAGTAGGATGAAATCCTCAACAACTTAAATATGTTCCCCATCTATGATGATATTGCTTATTGGTCCAGCTGTGAGGAGTTTCTCTTTCTTTAGCTGAGATGTGAGCCATTCAGAGGGCTGTAGACTTTGAGCTTCATCAGGGAGCGCTTCAAGTCCTCTGCACTTGGACAAGCAAGGTTGAGTCATTTGCAGATGGCAGGTTGTTAATGTATCTTCTTCCAATCCTGACGCCAAGTTCTTCTCCGTATCTTCCAGTCTCTTGGATCATTTGCTCAGCACACAGATGGAAAAGGTATGGTGAAAGGGTACAAGCTGTGATGTGTGGAAAATCAATGTCACCGGGCTTTTCTTCCTTGGAGAAAAGCTGACAAGCTTCTCCCTAGTGGTTGGCCACTACAGCAGAGGGGGTCGCACATGTAAGACACCCAGACCAGCAGGTACGACAAGGTAGCAAGTAAAGCAAAGATTTAAAAAACAAAATACTCGTCAATTATGAAGCAGGTTGCCTCACGATTGGAGGAAGACAACAGCATCTAGGGGTATGAGATTGGATTTTATAAGGGTCAGGTGGCAGGACCCTATTGGCTCACCTTAGTCCCTACCCTGCTCTGTGTGGGGATGAGTCATCTGGACATGACCCCTGGAATGGATCATGCGAGGCAACTTGGGATGGTTCATCCAGACCTCTCGCTGATCTTCACGTGACTGGTGGAATGGATCTGGTGAGGCAGTTTAGGATAGATCAGACCTCATAGGTCCGTCAGGTCTCTAGTTGACCCTGACACATACCATTCCTGATTTCAAGCAGGACAGTATCCCCCGAGAGCACAAACCCCAGCTCAGCATCTTTCTGGGAGTCTGTTTTCCGTCAGATCCCCCTGACAGCAGCCATGAATGCCTTCTTTCTGTACCCTTTTCTGAATCTGCTTGAATTGCTGGCAGATCCCAGTCAATGCCCTGCTGGAATCATTTTTTAATTATCATCTGTAAAAGATGTACTTGTGTGTGATATAATGATGCTGTTTGATACTGTCTGCATTCCGTTTTCTCACCTTTCTTTGAGACAGGCACCTCTTCCGGCAGGCTGTCCAGGTAACTGTTTAAAGTTAACAACGACTGTCTCTACAGCCCCTACTATGTGCCCGCATCGCTACCGAGGCAGCCACCACTAATCCCCCAAAAGGGATTTGCATTCTGATCTGGTTGACCCTAAATCCAACCTCTTAATCCCTGGTCTCTATTGCCTCCCTAGCTCCCTGCCCTTTTATCTACTGCTCCCCGCCACCCCCACCCCTCCTGCGCCGGGGCATTGTAACGTAAGACCCCAGAGTCCTGGAGTCCGAATCTAGGAGTCCTGGGCCTGTCCCGCTTGCTCAATACGGTCCCCAGACCCCAGGAGGGAGAAAGGCAGGTGAGGGAGGTGGACACGAGTGTCCGGCTGCAGCTGGCAGAGTCGTGGCCGGACTGGAAGCTGCGTAGGTTCCTGGTTCCCACAGGGGCCAAGAGCGACACCTGATCCCGGGAGATTGTGAAATGGCTCGAGGTGGCAGCTGGCCTGCCAGCCCAGAGAGCCCTCTGCTCTGCAGGCTCGGCCCCGCCCCGCCCCCTAATCCCCACCCCCTGAGCCCGAGTTTAAATCCCCCTGCGCAGGGCGACTCGCATCGGTACCCCGCCCTTCCAGCACCATGCCTTCCCGCGGCTGCCTGGGCCTGAGCGTCACCTCCGCCCTCCTGCTGGGCCTGCTGCTGCTGGGCCTGCCCCCGGGTCCCACAGGTGAGCCTGGCGCCCAGAGGGCCGAGCCGGGAGCTCAGGACAGAACCGGCCTCGGGGTGGCCTTTCCCGGGCTGGAGCGACTCCGGTTCCGGCAGCGAGAGTGGGGAGCGGAAGGCTGCGACTAGGGGTTCCTGGGGTCTCAAGGTGGGACCCTTGCGGCTTGGGGTTTGGGAGTCAGTGTGGCAGAGGTGGGAGGCCACGGAGGGCGTAGATATGCGTCCGGGCCCGTGATGAAGGAGGGGATTCCGCGGGGAATACCTGGGCCTCTCTGTCCAGATTTGGGAAGCTTCTAGATTCTCAGCTAGGCGGGGACCCTCCAGGGCTGAGAGGTGAGGTCGCTCAGGCCAGGGGCTGGGGAACTTCTGTCCTCTCGGGGACTCCTCGGGTTCTTGGGACCCTCCGGCCTGGACGGGAGTTCCAGGGCCCGAGATCGAGGAGAGCTTGGGGCTTGACACGTGGGCCCCTCAGGGCAGCTGGGCATCCTCTGGGGCTCAGGCCCACCACTGACCCCGCCCCGCGTCGCCCGACCCTCTCTTCCCGCGCGCGCGCAGAAGCACAGAAAACAGGGGTGTGCCCGGAGCTGCCCAGGGACCTGAACTGCACCGAGGAGTGCGCCTCGGACAACGACTGCGCCGACAACCTCAAGTGCTGCCGCTCGGGCTGCGTCGCCCGCTGCGTTCTCCCCAATGGTAAGCCCGCGGGGACCCGCGCGGGGAGGGCCCCCGGGCCCCAGGAGAGTGGAGGCGTGGCGGCCAAGGTCTCTGTCCCCTCCCTGCCTGGCCTGGGAGAGACAAAAGGCTTCGCTGAAGCACAGCGTGTCCAGAGGAGGGGCTGGGGTGCGGGGCGGTGTCGGGCGCCGGGAGGGGGTGCGCACCCCCGCTGGATTCAAGTCCCAGGTGCGTGACGGGTTTCCGGGTGCCCACAGGGCCACATTGTTCCGGGCGCCGCGACCCTACGGCAGGAGCCTGCGGGGATCCCGGGCTGTATGCATGCTGGGCCCCAGGCATGGGGTGTCCATCTCTAGTGCCGCCCGGGGCTCCTTCCCGCACCGCCTCAAGGGCAGGTCGCCTCCAATCCTCCGCCTAGGTGGAAGGGGACTTCATAGCTGCCCACCTTAAAGAAGGGGGCGCGAAAGACGTCGTGGGAAAGGGTCTGGCCCAAGGCAGCAGCACCATCCAGTGGCGAGGTCTTAACCTAGCGACCGGGTCCCTCGCTGGCGCTGCTCGGTACCGCCCGCAAGGCCTGAATCCGGCCAGGCGTCTCCCGGTGCCGAATCCCCGGGGCTCCAGCCCTCGCTCCTTCGGAAAACCATGCCTTCCAGCCCTAGGACGGAGAGATGAATCAGGTGGCTGAAAGCGTGGGCGCTCCTAAAAGGAACTTGAGGACGCAGGTCCCCACACCCAAGAGAGCAGGAAGTAGCCCTAGAGAGCCCCAACCCCACAGCTCCTCCTTAAGGAAAAACAGGTTTGGAGGCTGACTTGTGACCTGGGAGTACCCAGCCCCTGGAAATGCAGCCTTTTTCACTCCGTGGCCCGCCCCGAAGTCCACTGCTCTGCCTTATGCTCTTGGCGCTGCTGCCTCTGCTACCACCGCTTCTCTGGTGTCTCAGCTTTATCTCCTGCATCAAAGAGGTTCAGCATACAGGGATCCTGGGATCCAAAGGACCTGCTCTGCCCTTGGTTTCTCTTTCTGTATGGTAGTGAGATGCTCCCATTCTGTTTCTGAGATGGCTCATTTTAACCCCCGGCGAGTGCCAACATTGAACATTCCCCACACTAGAGTCCCAAGCCCCCTGTTTGTACAGCCCCACTCAGTAATTTGGTGGGAGTTCCCAAGACTATGGGCTAGTAGAGCCACGTGAAGTCATTTATTGCTCCCACAGTGGGACATAGTGGCTAGACTGGAGTTTTCCTGTGGCTCAAATACTGCCTCTAACCAGTATGACCTCAGGCAAATCATTTAAGCTCTCTGGGCCTCAGTTTCCTGATCTGTAACACGTGGAAGAATGAATAGTATCCATCCCTTTCTTTTAGGATTATTATGAAGATTAGTTACTATGTGGCAGGTGCTTGGAATAATACTTGGCACATGTTTCTAGGCTGACTGTTGGTGACCTTATGCAGAACAGAATAAAATGCCTCCCAGGCCCCTGCATCCTCACAATCATCCGCATGTCCATCTCGCCGAGGGTCGCCCATGCCTTTGTTGACCCTCTACTTGGCCCAATGTGATATCTTCTAGAGATTAGAGATTGGTCCTGCTGCTGATGTATCTGAAACAATCAGATACATTGGTCCTGCTGCTGATGTATCTGAAACAATCAGATACATCTGTATCTGATGTATCTGAAACAATTAGATACATTGGTCCTGCTGCTGATGTAGCTGAAGCAATCAGATACATTGGTCCTGCTGCTGATGTATCTGAAACAATCAGATACATTGGTCCTGTTGCTGATGTATCTGAAACAGATATATTGGTCCTGCTGCTGATGTATCTGAAAAAGATACATTGGTCCTGCGGCTGATGTATCTGAAACCATCAGATACATCTGTATCTGATGTATCTGAAACAATCAGATACATTGGTCCTGCTGCTGATGTATCTGAAACAGATACATTGGTCCTGCGGCTGATGTATCTGAAACAATCAGGGAGGACAGTTTTTGGCTGGGAGTCACAACTTTGTCATGGGCTAATTTCAGGAGTAGAAGACCTGGCCTTTCTTCCTAGTCTGTCTTAGTCTGCTGAGGTCTGTCCGCAGTGGGTGACCCTGCTGGAATTTGAAATATCGTAGCTTCCAGCTCACAGCAGCACACGAGCCTCCTCACCCCCGTACAATAACCTGACAGACAGGTGGCCCGTCAGGCATCCTAAACAAGAACAAAACACAAAGCCCACTGCCATCAAATGGACTCCAACTCACAGAGACCGTAGGTAGGGGTTGTGAGGCTGTTAAGTATTTACAGGAGCCGATCGCTTGAGTTTTCTCCTTTGGAGGAGCTGGTGGGTTTGAACTGCTGGCCTTGCAGTTCAAACAAACCCACCACCTAAGCCAGTGCTCCTTGGCGGGGGCACCAACAGCGGTCTGCTACGTTGTTGTTGTTGTTGTTAGGTGCTGTGAAGTCGGTCTCCACTCCCAGAGCCCCTGTGTGTACACCGGAATGAAATACCACCCGGTCCTGCGTCCTAGTGGGTCCTGGCACCGAGTAGGCTAATTAAGTGCTAGTTATTGTAATGACTCATTATTATTACAAAGTACTTGGTTGTTCCAAGAGAAATACGCCTGCCTCCATTGCCTTATTTTTAAACAACCCCAAGATGGGTGGCACTGGGCTCCAGGAGACTGCTTGGCCTGAGTCATGGAGTTAGCCTCTGGCAGAGGTGGGACTCAAACCGAGGTCTTAAGGTGCCACAATTGTCTGGGAGCTGGAGGAGGGTTTTGAAGGTGGTCTTCCTAGCCCCCCTGCGACCCTTCCAGGCAGTTCATGCTACCATTTGTGAGACTGGAGCCAGGGCCCGAGGCTGCCGGGGCACCTCCTCGGCCATGCTTGGTTCACCTTCTTGTATTCCCTTTGCCATCAGAAAAACTGGGTTCCTGTCCTCAGCTGAACTCTGCCATCCACCCCCTGGGCATCTGTGAAGACCAGTGCAAGGAAGACAGCCAGTGTCCAGGCCTGATGAAATGCTGCCGCAACGGCTGTGGGAACGTGTCCTGTGCCACACCCAACTTCTGAGGTAGGTGCGTGGGGAAGGAAGGAGACCCATCCATCCTGCCTGGGCGCCACCAGAGGCTGAGAAGTGAGATGTCGGCAAACAGTCCCAGGGCTGGTTCGTCTGTCCATTTGTGCACCCGCACCAGGATGGCCAGGCATGGAGCAGTTGCCAGCACCGGGTGCATCTGAGCAAAGCAGACGCCATTTCTACCTGGTGGCGTTTGTACTCTATTGGGGCGGGGGCGGGAGGGGGGGCGGGGCAGGGATGGTGAGCAAAATCAAGAACCGAGGACGTCTCGATGGCGGAAGAGGCGTCCCAGGAAGGAAACAGAAGCAGAGTAGGTGCGAGATGGCCCTGTGGTCATTGGGTGCCATCCAGCCCCTTCCGACGTGCGCACCACAGAATGCAGCACTGCACCGCCCGGTCCTGGGCCGTCCTCACAGTGACTCTTAGGTTGGAGCCACTGCGTCGGCCCATCTTATGGAGGGTCTTCCTCGGTCTCTGTCTCTCTGCTTTACCGAGCATGTGTGTGGCAGAGGTTACTTGCTCTCCGTTTGTCCTGTATTTCTGGTAAGGGAGGTCTCACAACACGGGTCCTTTCATCCAATGGACATTTGAAGTGTGTGGAGCACCTACTCCTGGGCAGGTCAAGGCAAGATTCCAAATGTTCATGGCTCTAGGCACTGAAAACATAAAACTTCAAAGTCCGCCTTTCCCTCTACGTGATCGAGAACAAAACAATGTTCAATCAGAAAGCAAGGCGTTCCTGAGTGGTGCACACAGTGATGGGCTCTGATCCCAGATGCCAGGTCAGTGCCTTGAGTTCCCCCAGAGGCAGGCGCTTTGAGATCTCCCCTGGTGATCTGCTTCGGAGAGATCACAGCTTTGGGACCCCGTGGAGCACACACGCACGGCATTGCCGTGCCTCAGAATGGGCTTGCTTGATAGCTAATGACAACCACCACAATCACAGAGCAGTGCCAAGGAGTAAAGAAACCCCCCAGAGTGCCGGTCTCCCCATGGGGGAGCTGCGGGCATGGTGTGCAGCTCAGCGTGGGACTGGGAGGGAAGGAAGATCAAGGCCACAGCTCACAGAGCCTGCAGTCTGGTGACGGAGACAGACAGAAGAGCAGACATGTGGAAAAACCCACCCGGGAGGGGTGAGGGGCAGCAGCGTGGGGCAGGCAGGGGTGGCTTCCAGAGAGGTGCCCCTCGCAGTCCTCATGGATGAGCCAGGGGAGGTGGCTTGGGGAGGTCTCTCTGGGAGGCTGTTTAGGCTGTCAGAGAGAGAGAGAAAGAGAGAGAGAGAGAGAGAGAGAGAAGAGGAGAGGAGAGGAGAGAGAGAAGAGAGAGAATCTGAGCAATGTAATACCATAATTTGAAGTTTTATTTGGTTTATAGATCAAGGAGCTTTGAATCTGTAACGAGGAAAGGTGCTTCCCAGAACAAAGACAAGCTAGGGGTTTATACTCATGATAGTGGAAGCAGAATTGTTTTGTATACAGCAAGAAAAGGGGAAACAGAGCAAATCACGTTTTACATCTTATTTCCCTATACTTTGAAGTTGCAGCTGATCATTAATTTTGTCTTACTACCAAGTGAAGTGAAAGACCAAGGCATGTGGGGCAGTGAAACGTACACTTAGCAGAAGACTCAGAATGTCAAACCAGCTCCCAAACCCACTGTTATCCAGCCGATCCTGACCCATAGGGACCCATTCCAACCCTACTCTGTAGGGCAGAGGAGAACTGGCCTATTGGGTTTCCAAGGCTAAGAATCTTTTTCTTTTCTAATTTCTAGCATTTTCTTCATTCTTGTACTCATCATTAACTCTCCCTTTCCCCTAACCTCCTCTGCCATAATTTTAAGAAACTATTAATCCAGTTACGGTCTCTATAGATTTACCTACCCTGGATTTCATATACAGAAAACAAAACCTCAACAACAACGACTAAGGGAGAAAAACCTCAATCAAAAAGAAACCAGGAAATAATAAAAACTAGAACAAATTTAAAATGGATCAAAAGGGAGAACAAATGATAAGGTGTTATATTTTAACCCAACTCCATCGGCATGAACCCAGTGTGTAATGCGCCCTGTGTGACAGCAAGGCTGTGCACACCCCTGGCCGATGGTCAGAGGGGAGCCTCTGGAGCAACAGTTCTCAACCTGTGGGCCGTGACCCTTTTGGGGGTAGAACGACTCTTTCACAGTATTCATACCCTTTCACGATTCATACCAGTAGCAAAATGACAGTGATGAAGAAGCAATGAAAATAATGTTATGGTTGGGGGTGGGTGGGTCATCACTACATGAGGAACTGTATGAAAGGGTCCTGGCATGTGGAAGGTTGAGAACCACTGCTTGGAGGCTTAATCCACCCCGGGGCCTCTGCTCATAGAAGTTGGACTTTCACCGTCATCCATCGCTTTCTGCAAACCAGATCCTCACGATTTAAGCTCTAACTACATTTCCTTCCTCCAGTCTTGCAAGACCGTCAATCTCTATGGACGCAAATTGCCTCAGCTTTCTCCCCCCAAAAGAGCAGCTGATGGCTTTGAACTGATCCTCTTTCAGTTCGCAAGGGAGTGCCTAACCTCTGCCGCCAGGGCTTCTGTTGACTGTCAACTTAGAACATTTGAGCTCACGTATAAAGCAGAGGTGTTTGGTATAGAGCAAGGAGGACACAGGGATCAGAAATTGTTGTGTGGCTCCCCCGCTCCCCGTGAATTTGTCCAAGTGTGAGGGATCTGAAGAAAGAAAGGTTAACAAGGCGGAGGAGCAGAATGAGCCAGACTCTGCACACACCCTGCCTTGAATTCCTGCTGCTGCTCAAGTACCTGTCTTTGATAAGCTCTCACTCCGGGAAGGAGCTTGGACTCCGGTACTGCACAGAGAAGGGATGCACCCAAGGGCCCACCATTGTGGAACAAAACCACCATCCCCTGCAGCCAATCGCAAAGGCGGGGTGAGAGTCAGCATGTGTTTTATGAACAGGTCCGGAAGACCAGTGAGCTAATTGTCCAAGGCTGCCT